TTAGAGAGAGAGAGAGAGAGAGAGAGAGAGAGAGAATTCCCTCCTTTGGATGGCATGCATATGTGTGCAGTGTTTGTCTTTTTTTTTTTTTTTTTTTCATCATCTTTGTCAATCCGACAGTCTTGGGCACAAAACGCCAGTTCTATGCATTATACGTTTGCTATGAAGTCCTACGCTTGGTGCTGCCGTGCCTCTCCTTGCAGCTGTGAGGAGTCCCAACAGGACTTGTGAGTCGCAAGCACCTTAGGCCAGAGTTTCACTGGTTGCTCTTCAGTTCTAGCTGAGCATGATGGTCCTTCTTTCTCCTCTTTTCAACTAAGGTAGGATGATGGTGTACTGATTGGAGAACAACTATTTAAGAAAGGAAGGTGAGGATACACTTTTGCTTCTCTCCTGTGTTGTACATTAGGACACGCGGTTAAAATTCGGGATTTTTCGCTGCATCACTACAAGCAATGTCGTCGAAACTTTTGCAAACAAACGATGCAGGCTCATAATACAAACATCAAAATACCAAACAGGCAAAAAAAAACGAAAAGAAAAAATTGAACAGCACTATAAAACCCTACTCGAAGTAGCTTTCGAAGTTCGCCAAAACGTTTGAAATTCCCGAATTCGGTGTTTTTGGTTAACTTTTTCGTTACTCGTCCAAATACGCCGAAACTGTAGTAATACGAATATACCCTAAAGCTTATACATATCAGACAAAAAGTTGAAAAAAACAAAACAAAAAAAAAAGCAAAAATTCAGGGAAATATGGCAGTTTCGGTGAAAAATTCGCCGAAAATGACACCACCTATTAACCACGAGTGTACATTAGGAGAGGCATTATCCTGAACTATTTTTGGGTCAAGGTTTATGTTGAGTTAAGTGCTGAATAACAGAAAGTGGGCCCTGACCCTTTTGCATGTGCACCTCTTTCCCTTTGCAATTGTGGCTTTTTGTCATTTGTCCTGTTCTCTCCCTCCCTGCCTACTACGGAGGCTCTGCCGACTGTACTCTTCTGCCTGCTGTCCTGTCTCTGCCACCCTTTCAAAAGAACCTCGATGGGCATGCTTCATACGACCCAGCTTCGCCAACGATTGCTGTTCATGGATAAGCCCAAGAATGAATGGTTCATGGTTTAAGTAAGAGAAAGGGGGGTCTCAGGGTTCACCGATCCTCTTGTCGGAGAGAAAACGAAGCCATCTTTCCTCGTATTCGAAGGAAAAGGAGCGGTTTGTTTGTTGGTGATTGTGGGATTTGAACCCGCCACCTGCTCGTAACAGGTTCGGGAGCACAGTGGACATGGTCGTCAGGGGCCTGCGTAACACAGGGCTGCTAAACGGTCTCCCCAGTGTATGCGCCCTTGACAGCATACACCACGCCACCAGAACAATGTCACATCTTTGCTGCGAGCCTTCGGTGGCCTCCTTAGCAAGGCCGATGGAGGCTTGGCAGCTCACCAGCAAGCCAACAGCATTGAAAGCCTGTCATCTGGCGATTGCAGCCGTCGTCAAGTGGGAGGGACACTCCAGTGTTGCACCCTCCCATCTACCACGCAGGAAATGCAGAGCGGCGCATCCTCAGCATGGAAGTCAAGCACACTGTTCTTCCTGCAATGGTTTCCTCAAGCCTATTCACTCCAAAAAACATCGTTCGGCGGCAGCGAAAGCAAGCCTCTGGGATTCAATTCGTTCCGGCCTTCTGCAGAGATCGCCCACGGAATCAGCGGATACTGTCTTGCAGTATGAGGAGGAAGGGGGGGGAGAGAAAGAGAAGTCGAATGCCGGAGAGGAATACCCTAATGAGGAAAAGGAGGTGGTTCTTGTCGAGAAAGTGCAGGATGATGGGTCAATAACAAAGATTGTGTATTTGTCGGGAGCGGAGTTGGATGTTTATCAGCTGGAAGTTCTTTGCGACAAGGTAGGTTGGCCTAGAAGACCTCCTAAGAAGGTAAAAGCTGCACTGGAGAACAGCTACCTGGTCGCGTCTCTTCATCTCGTTACACAATATCCACAATCTTCGGAATCCGGGGAAGTGCGGGAAGATCGGGTGCTGATTGGAATGGCTCGAGCCACGTCCGATCATGCATTCAATGCCACAATTTGGGATGTGTTGGTGGACCCACTTTATCAGGGCCAGGGCCTGGGGAAAGCATTGATAGAGCAGACAGTTCGATCGCTTTTACGGAGAGACATTGGCAACATCACGCTGTTTGCCGATGCGCAAGTCGTCGACTTCTACAAGAACCTAGGCTTTGAAGCCGACCCAGACGGAATCAAGGGTATGTTTTGGTATCCCCGGTTTTGAGCTGATGGGGGAGAAGGTTCTGCTCTGCTTGTTCTCACGTGGTACCCGGGGCGGGGACACCAAAGCAGTGGGCAACATCACGCTGTTTGCCAATGCGCACGTCGTCGACCTCTACAAGAACCTCGGCTTTGAAGCTGACCCAGACGGAATCAAGGGTATGTTTTGGTATCCCCGGTTTTGAGCTGACAGGGGAGAACTTCAAGGTTCTGCTCTGCTTGTTCTCGCGTGGTACCCAGGGCGGGGACAGCAAAGCAGCGGGAGAAAGGAATGCCCGGAAGACCGGAAGAGGCTGCGCTTCTTGCCCTGTTTGACAATCATCTTTGTATTCAGCAAATCTAATGCATCCTGTCTCCTCCCCCATCGTCTACAGGCCCGAAAAGGCGAGGCAATCTTCAGAATTTCAAGTATTTTGTTCCTTCCTTGCCCATTCTTCCCAGCCTTCCTTAAGGCTTGATCTGCTTTCCATCGGGTGGGTAGGCAGATCTCAAATAGGCTTGTAAGCTCGCGTGGCGAGCTGTGTAGCATTTCTGTATGTGCGCTAACTGTTTCTTTGTACAGTTTGTACAGCCTGTGCATACATGCAGCCAGATCATGCATCAATGGGTGCATGGAATGCGCTCCATACGGGTCTTCGCACTGGCGACTTCGAGGCTACTTCAGACGTCTGAAATGCGTATCCATCGTATGTACACATTTGTTGCTCTTCAGGGAAGAAGTTGTTTACATCTCCAGTTTCATTCTTCATTTGTCTGACATATAATGGTTAATAAAAGTAGTGTAGCAGCAGCCGATTCTGGCTCATACTTTAGGTGTGCCTCTTGTTTACATCTCCAGTTTTCTGGACCTTGGATCACACAATGATACTAGGATCATGTCACTTAGCATGCATCCCTTCCTCATGTCAAGGGAGTCAATGCGATAGGCGGCTTCAAGCTCGTTCATCTGCCAGACTGGTAATTGGTGGTTACCTCTTGGGGACGGTTGCCATGAAGTGACAGCCAAGATCTCTAGGGTTGTCTGTGTAGGTTCAAGGAGTGAGGCTGTTTGATCGGGTTTATGACTTGTGGAAGAATCAAATGTGATAAATGGCTCACGTCAAGGGAGTCGATGCGATAGATGGCTTCAAGCTGATTCATCTGCCAGACTGGTAGTTGGTGGTTACCTCTTGGGGACGGTTGCCATGAAGTGACAGCCCAGATCTCTGGGGTTGTCTGTGTTGGTTCAAGGAGTGAGGCTACGTAATCAGTTTCATAACCAGCAGCGGAAGGAGTTAAGGAAAGGAGTTACGTCATAGGAGGCAGCATGGCATCGCAAATTTACACACGTGTCACGGACCCTTCATTTCTTTGCTGCCTTTCGACATGGTCACTTGCTGACTCAACTGTGCACGTCTGTTGCCCTTTCGACGTGGTCACTTCCTGGCTCAACTGTGCACGTCTGTTGCCCCTCGATGACTCGCTGAATCTCTGGCCTGCTTTCTAGCTGCCGATGTGGATGGGTCAGGATGGAGCCATGTTTGGGAAGATGGGGTTTGAAACCTCAGATGGGGTCTTTCCTAGAGATCGACTGTGTGAGATCTTATACCACTTGATCCTGTAATTTGACATAGAAATTTAAAGACCCTTTAAAGATCACCCCACAACTTCGGTGGGGATGATATGGAGCTGCTTCCCTGCCATAGCTTTCGAACACTGTATTGACTTGCTGCAAAGTTAATATTTGATAGGTAGAACCTTTGGGGGGCTTGGTGCCCCTCTTGCCCCCTCTTTGCAGGCCTAGGCTGTTTCGGTTGCAGAAGCACATGCTCAGAGTTGACAAATGTCATGAATGACATTCAATTCAAAATGAAAGCTACTGCTTTCCTCCATTGGTTAATTACTCAAACATGGAATGCTTCGTCTTCATGTTGTGACTGTTGCGAAGTGAAGTCCCTTTGCCCCTACTGAGAACAGATCACATGTGCTCCTTTCACGTGCTGCATGTCGTTTACATGCTCCTTTCACGTGTTGCGTGTCGTTTACACACGTGTTGCATGTCGTTTACATGCTCCTTTCACGTGTTGCATGTCGTTTACATGCTCCTTTCACGTGTTGCATGTCGTTTATTGCCAGCTTATCCCTTTGCCTATCCTGAGAACAGATCATATGCGCCCATCAGGCTTTGCTGCTACCAGCTGGGCTGGTAGGGAAGAATGGAAGTTGCTGTCCATGTAAGTGCTCTGTGTTGTTCTACTCCCCTTGAACTTACCTTTCCGACAGCTTTGTACTTTGAATGACATGTCGATAAAATGACTTTATGTGCGTTGTGGCGTGGTACTGGCTCCGAATGGCATGGACTATGGTGTAAAGCAATACGATGCCTGGTCTCTTAAGTGCTTTATTGCGTCCTAGTTCTTAACCTCTCCTTTTCCATCCACGGGTTCTGCGCGTGAGTGTTTTAGCCGGTTGCACTCCTCTACTTCTCCTAGCTGTCTTGCTACTTTGAATGCAACATCCATAGTGTGAAACTTTGCAAATTGTGCCATTCGATGAGTGAGGAATGTGTGTGTGGAACTTTGCAAATTGTGCCATTGGATGAGTGAGGAATGTGTGTAACACGGTATTAACCTGAAAGAAGGGGTGAAGGAGAATTGTGTCATTTGCAGTTCCTGTTGCGCTAGGAGAGGGAGGGGTCTTGGTAATGCCATACTGTGCATGAACAGTGTCTCTTCTTGGTGGCGACAAATTTCTTTCATTCTACTGCTGGTTCTTTGTCTCTTGAGGGTGGCATGGAAATCCACAGGTGAGAGAGCAGGTTGGGAACTGCTTCGATCGGTCTGCTTTGAGGGTCTGGCTGGGCCGCTGGCCGAGCGCCTTGCGGCCCATCCGGTTGGGCGGGTGGGTGGAAGTGTTGTTGAGCAGCTGGTTGGTGGCTAGGTGTGAGTAGTGGCTGGCTGTGTGACTCCCTGGAATACGCCTGTGGGTGGCTGCTTTAGTCGTTGACTCTGTGGATTGCTGAGCAGGCGTATGGAAGGGGCTGGGTAGCATCGTATATGGATCGATTGAGGGCTGACGAGTGTTTCATGCTTTCCCCAGATCACCAATATGTCCTGCAAAACTGGAGTAAAAGCTACTCCCCATGGATGGAAGAAAAGAACTTTGGTCACTAGATTGTCCATCCAACTTGTTTTGACTGGAAAAGGGAAACCAAAGGCTGTGTGGTAAAGCGGGTATCCGTGACAGGCGTTGGCCAAAAATAGAGTGGTGGTTTAAAGTTCTACCGTCTTCACCCGAATAGAACGCTCGGTCATTATAGCTGTATTTGGTGCAACTTTCAGTCTAGATACAGCGATAATGACCGGGCGTTCTATTCGGGTGAAGACGGTAGTTGTGGGTTACGGTGTGCTGCCGGATTGCAACTGGGGTCTAGGCAGATTATGAGAATTTATGACCCTTAGCATCAGTAAGGTGGGGCAGGGGAGGCTCTGCGGGATGTTGAGGGTTCAGTCTCTTGATGGGTCGGTGACGGCCTGAGGCAATAGCTTGTCACTCCCCTGTTCTCCATGGCTTTGTGTGTTTTTTATTTACTTTCTTTTTTCTGGACCATCTCCTTGCCCACGGCTTCACTCATTTCAGATCTCTTTGTTTTGTGGTGCTGATGTTGATAGACGCCTCTGATTGGAACAAACTCAGGTATTGTCAAGAGCGGGCTGTCCGTCATAAGTTCATAACTTTGACCGTCTTCCTGTGTATGAAGTGTCGATGAGTTCAGACTCCAGACGCTATTGTCGTACAATATACAGCTGCTTTGCACAGGCAGCATTGTGCGCAGTCATATACGCGTTTCTTTCCCACTGTCTCCTCCTTTAGGGGGGGGGGAAGGCTCATGTCCTTGCACCAGCAGTCGGCCTCAATCTCTTCTTTAAAATTTAATCCATGCTTTTCTTTTGGGGGTCATGGTGGTCCACAAACCAGATAGGTTGCCCGGTGTGCCTGTAGGTCAAGGCCTGTGTCTCACTCAGCTGGGCGGAACAGCCTGTGCTGCACCCCGCTCCAGAGAATGCGTGAAGGGCTGCCGTCTATCTGCTCCGAGGACAACAAGGTTGCCTTGAGGCTGTCATCATAAGGCTGTCTTAAACCACCAGGTTGGTGGACCCCATTCTATTGTTACACACTGTGTCACACGGGCCCGGTTAGGCCCGACAGATAGGGGTTCGGAGGCCGGTCCAGGCCCAAGGCCGGACCTTTAGACCGGAAGAGCCATTTGCAGGCCACCGGTTGGCCTTTAGGCCTCATTTTAGGACCAGACCAGACAGGCAGGCCCAAACGACGTTACCGTTGGGCCTGGCGGCGCTCTTGAGGTTGCCGCCCGCCGGTCTGATCTGAATCGTCACTTTTGACGATTCAGATCACGGCTCGGCCTCGAAGCATAGAGGCCGGCCTTTCCACACCGGTACTTAGGTAGCGGGAGGCCGCCTGTTCGGCATTCAGGAGCAGCAGCAGTTAGGAGAAACGCTGCACTATTCTGTTTAGAGCGCAGCGCTACTGCAGCAGCGCGAGGTTAGCGCTAGGCTGCAGTTCGGGATAGAGAGGGAGCGAGGTATCTACCTGGTACTTACCTGTGGCGCCATAGCTGTGGAGGACTTCGACTTCAGGGGACTTCTACTCCAGGTGCCACCTTGCATCCTGCAGGTAAGGCTTAGGATCAGGGCAGGGCAGTGAGGGTTCTTCTCCTCCCTACCTCGCCATCTCTCCCTCCTCCTCTGCTATCTCCTCTTCCTCTTCTTCTTCTTCTTCTTCTTCAGACTTTCTCTTCTTCTTCTTCAGACTTCGTCTTCCTCTTCTTCTTCAGATTGGAGACTGTGATACAAGTTGGACAGAGATCAGTGTTGGACTTCGGTGGTAAGAGGCTGTGATACTTACCGGATTCGAGACTTGGAGATTGTTGGGGTTGATACTCGGCAGCATAACAGATTGGACACCGGTTACCTTAGGACTCTGTACCTCCGACATTGGTGACTTATTGTCCACGACGTTTTGGTCTTGTTCGATGACATTTTGGACTACCATATCGGTGACCTACTGGATTCTATCTCGGTGACATCTGGCGCTGCCTACATCTCCCACCTCTTTCGTCTCTCCTCCCACCTTTCATCTGTGTATGGTTGTACCGGGCCTGAACATCGTCTATGATTGGCTCAGACCCCACCATCTCACAATTGCTTGTGTGTTGAGTGATATCTGTATGAGTTCAGTCTATGTGAGTCAGTCCATTTATCAGACTTCCGCTGCATACATGCTCATCCTGTATTGGTTGATCTTTGGTTCTGCCCATACTTGTTGAAGTATTCACGAGTATGCAACAGTTTTGGTATCGGAGCAGACCAATCAATGGATCTGCTCACAAGGTAATTCTGATTAGGGAATAGATTGCTTATTCAATTTTCCAAATCAGTTCTGCATTACTATCGAGATTCAAAGTTGCAAATTTTTTTTTTCGGCATTCTGTTTCAATTCGATATTCCAATTTTCAATTCGGGATTCTGTTTTAATCCGGTATTCTGTTTAATTCGGTATTCCATTTAATTGGTATTCTGTTTAATCCGATATTCTGTTTTAATCCGGTATTCTGATTTTAATTCGGTATTCTGTTAAATCGGTATTCTGTTTTAATTCGGCATTCTGATTTCAACTCGGTATTCTGTTTTAATTCGGCATTCTGTTTTAATTCGGTATTCTGTTTTAAATCGGTATTCTGTTTTTATTTCGGTATTGGAATTAGGGTTGCGATAAAATTTCGGTTTTTCGTTCAAATTGGGAAATTCGCATGTTTTTGGAACCGTAAAACCAGAAATTCCGCAAAATCGCGGAAAATTAGGGTTGGAATCCGAAATTTTCGCGATTTTTTTTTTCTTTTCCTAATTGGAACCCAAGCTCAGCAAACGGCTGAGGCTGACGTGACGGTTAGAGACAAGCGGAACGCCATCAGCATGGAGTCCTTGACTCAGAACGAGAGTCGCTGGACAGTACTACTCCAGGACATGTTTTTTTAGGCCTCGGACGAGCAGGCGGATCCGACACCAGCGGAGGCAGAAAGGAGTAACCTGGCTAACCTGATGCTGACCATGATGAGGGCTGTGATGTGGAACAATACAATGTTGACAATGCAGATACACGAGGGCAGACAGCTGAGACAGACGCAGCAGAAAGACGCTGCAGCCTTAACAGCCGCTGTTCGCGCTACCGCCACACATCAGAAACAACAGCAACAGCTGTTGAACACCACCACCACACGTGTCAACAGCATGGAAGCTAAGGCATCAGCAGCGCCAGGCTGCACGACAGACACGACGAAGCAGCTCGGGGAGCGCATCGACCATGTCGTCACTATTATCGGCGAACTAGGTGATTTCACTAGTCCGGCCACGATCAGCAGCACGGTGGCCGCCATCAAGACGGACATCACCAAACTGCAGACAAGACCGGACGCCGCTCCAAAGGCATACAAGATGCCGCGCTTCAACATCGGCAAGTTTGACGACTACAACAAGACGGACGCCTTGACATGGTGGCAAAGCTTCCTCACCGAAGCATCCTGCCACACGGTACCGCCCGAAGACATGATGAAAGCGCTCTACCTCCAACTTATTGGAGGCGCACAGGCATGGATGAACCATCTCGCGGCCAATCAAAAATGCACCATCGCCCAACTCCACACGCACATTCCGCGGAAGGAGTTCAAGCAACTGTGGTTCACTCGATTCATGGTCCGCAACGTTGTAAAGGCGGCCATGAACGAGGTTTACACCAGCTCACAAGGAAACATGCCAACTCGAGACTGGACGATCAAGTGGCATAAGATAGTAACCACTCCAGGCTTCGACTTGAGTTTTCCAAACCAACGATCCGAATTCTTTTCTCGATCGTGCGCAGGACTGCGGTCGGCACTCGGCAACGAGTACGACTCTACCTCATTCCAGGCTATTCTGGATTGTGTGAAGCTGGTCATCCAAACGGATGACAAAGCCGCTAACGAACGGCAGTCCCAGCAGCACTATGTGGCTAAGCAGGGCTATTAACGACCGACACATAACAATGCCGTGATTCCTGACGAATCGATCGATCTCCACGCTGCAGCAGCATCCTCGAGTGATGGAGGAGTTGTCGCAGCACTCCCGCCGAAGCGTCCCAAGAGAGTTCGGAAGAACAAGGCGACACAAACGACGACATCGACGGGAACTGGGCAGCAACCATGGACGGCATACAACATAACCAAGGAAGTATTTGACCTGCGTCAACGGTACGAATATTGCCTATGGTGCAATAGTGTAAACCACACTACCGCACAATGCTCGAACAAGGGCAAGGCACGCGTACCCCGTCCAGCTAACTCGGGAAACTGAGTTACGCAAGAAGAGGGGCGACGCCTCTTCTCACTCCGCCGGAACCGGTTGCCTTGCTAGCAACCGATATCACTACCGAGGAGCATGCGTTAGTCGCTGATTCTCGTGCTACGTACGAGGATTATGCCACCCAGCTGGTCCACCATTAGACCAGCCTAGCCACGTGCACTTAGATAGCGTATGTGCAGCCTGGACACCGTCGGCAAGTGAACCGGTCAGTTCGCCTTTGATTTCCGAGGACTCGACGGCGTGGTCAAGACTTGAGGAGCTTGACCCGCTCACGAGAGAGGACTTCGCTTGGATGCCTCTACCCTCAACCGGAACCTTGCCAAGGCCGCATTGTAACGCCTTGATGACAAATCTACGCTCCTATTTGCAATTCCAGCTCTATTGACGGACGACGGAGTAGCGGTTGTCGATCTTCGCTCCTATCTTGCGAAGATTGACCGCGAGTATGCCACCCAAAGGTACGTCGAGACCGACGTGCCTTTGCTCTATATCCGCATTCAAATCGGAAAGGCAACTTGCAGTGCCTTGATTGATTGCGGAGCATCTCGCAATTTCATGAGCCAAGCCTTTATGGCCCGCACAGGCCTTGGCCCGCGCGTTCGAAGGAAGACGCAACCTACGCAAGTGACACTCGCGGACGGCCGCACGCAAAAGTCGATTGATCGATGCATTGACGACGTCCCGGTATACTTTGCGCCCCTTGCGTGCGAGCCGGTGTCTTTTGACATCCTCGACACCAAGTTTGACATGATTCTAGGCATTTCTTGGTTGCGTAGCGCATCATCCGGTGAACTTTCATGACCGAACCGTTCACATCCGTGATCGGAACGGAGTGTTAGTCCCATGTACGGTCGCGACCCCTCATACTTCAATTGCTTGTCACGTGGTTTTCGTCGCGAGAATTCGCGACGCCATAGCTCAGAACGACGTAGAGGAGATGGGTCTTGTGTTTCTACATGCCCTCCCCTCGCCGAACGGACTAGCCACATCACCGCCGAACCCACGCATTACTCACCTCTTGGATGGGTATGGAGACGTCTTCGAGGCCGCCGAACCCACGCATTACTCACCTCTTGGACGGGTATGGAGACGTCTTCGAGGCTCCCACCAGAATGGTTCCGGATCGGCCCATACATCCCGGGATCACTCTCGAGGTTGGTGCCGTCCCTCCGCGTGGATGCATTTACCGCATGAGCGAAGAGGAACTAGAGGTGCTTCGCGCACAACTTAATGACCTTCTCGACAAGGGTTGGATTCGCGCGAGTTGTTTGCCATACGGCGCGCCAGTTCTCTTCGTCCAGGAGAAGAACAAGGAGCTACGACTGTGCATTGACTGTCAAAAACTTAACGGACAAACCGTTAAGAACGCCGACCCTCTCCTTCGAATTGATGATCTCCTCGAGCGGTTGGGCGGCGCGACGTACTTCTCGAAGTTGGACTTGAAGTCGGGTTACCACCAGATTGAAATCCAGCCTCAAGATCGGTACAAGACCGCCTTCAAAACGAGGTACGCGCATTTTGAGTGGGTCGTGATGCCATTTGGATTCACCAATGCCCCGACAACCTTCCAAGCAGCCATTACAACGGAGTTTCGAGACTTGCTCGATCGTTCCATCCTCGTCTACCTCGAAGATATCTTGGTCTATAGTAGGACGCTTGACGAGCACCTCGTACACCTTCGTGTGGTGTTGGATCGTTTGCAAGTAGCCAAGTACAAAGCAAATCGCGACTAGTGTGAATTCGCCAAGCAAGAGCTTGAGTACTTGGGCCATTATGTGACGCCGAAAGGCATTCGTCCCTTAGCGGACAAGATCCAAGCCATCGTGGATTGGTCGGAACCCCGTTGCACGACGGACGTACGCTCTTTCATGGGTTTGGCTGGATATTACCAGCGCTTTAAGGGTACTAGTGCTTTAAGGGTACCAACGCTTTAAGGGTACTCGTCCCTTAGCGGACAAGATCCTGAAAGGTCGGAGGCCCACTGTTTTTCGAACCGACAAGGGTACTAGTGCTTTAAGGTAGAAGATTCTCGCCTGTTTGTGATGCAACTCCCCGTGGGAGAAAGGGAGCAACGAAATGTCTGCTAGCCACCTCTTTCCATAACGGATCTGCCCGAACTTCTGACCAGGCTTGAGTGGTACACGAGTGGAAACTAAAGAACGACGGCCTCTTTACTTTCCAATTGCTGGTAGCAGGTCCAGCATAAGGGGTCCTATTAGTGCCAAGCATTAAAGGTCTCATATTGGTCCTTTCCCTCTGCAGGCTCCGCAAATATGGTGCGAAAGGTATTTTCAGGCTCGACATCAATAGCTGAGAAAAATACCGGTGGTTTAAAGGATACGTGTTTTAATGTCGTCGCCTGCCACATGTCCGAGGGCAAAGCCGCATACCACTGCGTTGACGGGCATCGGATATGCTCCGTCATGCAGGAAAAGGTGTGGGGCGCTCCCCAAGGATCATAGTGACGATTCAAAACTCTGATATGGGTAGGGGATCCAACTACTAACTAGTACAGGACAATCCTCACGAAATGTTAGGGTAAAAATTCCAGTCAATAATGATTTTGGTCATAATGGTCATCCTTATTCATTGTTCATGTGAGCATTTTTAAAATCTGTGTGTTTTCTTTCGCGTTTATGCAATTGGTCATGATCGTTATGCATGGTTATGTTCTTGTTGGTGTGTAAGATTCTCGGTCGGATCGTGATTTGTTTTATGCCCGTTTGTCTATCCTTGATTAGAAGGATAATATTTGCTCTATTTAGTATTAGTCCAAGGTTGTTTATCCTTGACGAGGAGGATTGCATTTGTATGTAGTATTATTTTTGGTAAGCTAGCATTTGTTTTACTAAGTGTTTCTTCAGGTTCGTCTAACCTTGATGAGGAGGATAACATTTGCTCTATTTAGTATTACTTTAGGTGACCTTAGAATTACCATGATTTAATTATTAAATTTCATATCTGTCAATTTGTTTATTGTTCGACAAATTGGTTCGCCTCTACAAGGTTCGTTCTTTTCACAATTATTTGTCATTCTACCTCATGAAAATTGGATATGATTTTATAATTGATGCGGTATAGTCTCAACCTGGGTAGCACCCCATAGCGTACGCGTACGTATTTCGGCGTACACGTACGAACCCAAAATCGTGCGTACGCGTACCTGGAAAAAAAAAAAAAAAAAAAAAAAAAAAAAAAAAAAAATCTAAAAAACAAGTATGTTATGCAGAATAATGATACAAACAACATTTGTCTGGGAGTCGTACCTGAATTCCAGACCAAGCTCGATTTAAAAATAAAAAACCTTAACAAATTAAAAAAATATTTTTAAATAGTTTTTTAACTATTATAATAACATTACCTTTTTTTTTTTTTTAATTTCTTCCTCGAGTTTGGTTGGGAATTCGGGGATGAATCCCAGGCAAAAGTTGTTTGTATAATGTTTCTGCGTAATATATATTTGTTATAGAAGTTTGCTTTTATTCTTGTGTTTTTTTCCTAGTTTTTTTTATTTATTTGAATTTATTTGTTTCTTGTCTTTGATTTTTAACTCGACTTTGGTACATAATTTCGAGATGAGTCTCAGGCAAAAGTTGTTAGAAATATCATTTTGCATAACATAGTTTTTTTATAGATTTGTTCGATGAACTTTTTTTTTTTTTTTTTTTTACGTATCATTCTGCAGTACAGTACGGGAGTACGTGTACGCGTACGTGTCACGTACAAAAGTACGTATCATTTTGCAGTACAGTACGGGAATACGTGCATGCGCGTACGTGTCGCATACAAGAAAACGTGTATGTGTGTACGCGCCACCCGCGTACACGTACGCCGTGCTACACAGGTCTCAACAATTCACCTCAATTTGGAATAATGGTACTTTCTTTGATTCAAAGGAAGAAAAGCAGTACGATATCTTACTCCCAAGCATCTTTTGTAAGTCATTTAAGGTCCTCATTGATACTGAGATTCATACACAAGGACAAATTTACTCTACAAATGATAAGAATGGTCAACCATATATTTGAAATGTTATATATATTTTGCACCATGATCCACTATTTGAAGAAACGAAGTTAGTTGGTTTATAAATTGGCTTACCTGCCCGGCTAATTTATTGCATTTATCGTTTATCTTTTTTATTTTTTAACATTGTTGCTACTTCTTACCACCTTTTATGAATTAATTTATATTTATATCCCCCTCTCGTAACTATATTTATATTAAACCACCAGTACTTCCTAGAGTCGTGCCCGTTAACGCGCCACGATTTTAGGAAACGTACGGGCTGCTACAGGAGCACCCAAATTCATCCAACTAGAAACCTTTCTACTTTATTTTTTTTCACGATCGATAGTCGGGCCAATTATTGATGGTTTAAGCCCAAGCAAACTTGATTTGAATTTTTTTAAGAAGATGACTTTGTTCAAACTTTTTGCTATTAACTTTGTTTTTATATTACAATCGTTTGATTTTTCTTTTCCTTTTTTGATAATAGCATACCGCATGAGTGTGGTATGAGGCATCATACGTAGTTATAATTCAAATGTCATATTTATTGGCAAATTTTGTAGTGGTTCTTGAAACTCTAAAATCGAGAGATTTTATCGGCGGTTGAAAACATCTTTCTCACATTCAATCATATTATCTTTCTTTTTAAAAAACATTATGGTGCTCATATATATTAATTATTGTGGTTAAAACGTCATACAATTGAAAATCATTATTAGAAACTTTATATATAGTGAGATAATTATTGTGGTTAAAACGTCATGCAATTGAAAATCATTATTACAAACTTCATATGTATCTAGATAAGTGGTTGATTATTTTGCAAACATCATTCGAGTATTTTGTTTTTTTTATCGTTATAAACAGATTCATATTATTGAGCGGAATACAATGAAACCTCTTTTTACTCTAATATTGGTAGTTATGAGTATTTCATTCTTACTAGTGCGTTATTTAAACTTATTTTATAGGTGACAATAAATAATTATTTCGTAGATTTTATATAGGCTGTTTTTTTGGACGTCCGGACACCCAACCTCTACCCGGGTACACGCCTCCCTTCCCTTTGACAACCAACTCGCAAACAAAGAAATAAACTTGGATTTAGGATCCTTTAGGAGAGCACAAAAGAAAAAGAAAAAAAAAGGTTTTTTTTGCACGCTCGAGCATCCCGTGCTTCGCGCCTGGGTGCCCAGCCGAGTGTGAAAATCTTCCCATGATTCTATTAAACACTTGTGTATTATTTCAATTTACAGCTCAGATACTTATATAATATTTATAATGTTTTAAATAACATACGTGTTCACGATTTATATGCAAAATTTAATAAGTGTAACTTGTTATATGTATGATTGAACATTATGTTTTTCAACAAGACCAGTAACTGCAAAATTGTTATGATTACTTAGTAATTTTTACATATTTTGCTATTAACCTTCGCTATTTATTTAAGATGTATAATTGTTACATTCGTCTTTTCAATGATTATGCAAATTGTATTTTTTCATTTTTACATATTTTGCTATTGACCTTCGCTATTTATTTAAAATGTATAATTGTTACATTCGTCTTTTCAATGACTATGCAAGTTATATTTCTTATGTTGTCGTATTTCCCTTACCGACATGTATATTGAACTGTTTCCTCCAGCTGGTTGAAAAAAAGTTTTTTCGGTTAGGGTCACATTTCGTGGAGGTCCACCGACCGGTCACGCAATTTTAAAGTTACAAACTTTAGCAATTTTTTGCATTCTTTAAAAAATAAATAAAAAAATTCGTTAGTTTGGGTCGTGCAGAAAAGGAAAAAAAAAGTTCGGGCTGTTAAATAATCGTTGCGTCATTTAGACTCATTTTTCTTTTATTTTACTCTGCCACATGTAGGCCAACGAAAAAATACTCTTACCTCTAACAATTGTTTTTGTTCATAAAGAGAATCGAAGAATCCGTAAATTTGAGCGTTGATATTTTCAGTAAAAATATTTTTAAAATACAATGAACTGTGAAGTAAATTGTTCTATCAATTCGATACATTTTTTTTTCTTTCGCTAAACGGGTTCTTTACATTGTCGTGCCAGTAACCCTCATTAACTTGTGTTATCGGTCCTTTTGATTTTCCAACTTTAAGAGGGGGGGGGGGGTTCACATCCCTATACTTCCCCCCCCTTTCTATCATCACTAATTATCCTATGTGTTATTTTTTATACATTGAAAGATTAGATTGCGAAGATAATTGAGATCTCGAACTTCATTTATTCAAGTATAATAATATTTATAACTCTTATATTTGGTTGGGCTAATAGTGCTCGTACCTAAACTACCAATTGGGCCTCCTAGATCACCCTATTTGCCTGGGGGGGGCGATTATGTATAGACGAAAGAAAGTTTCAAAAAAAAAAGAAAAAACAAAAATTGATAAAACAATATTATGCAAAAAGAAAATGAACAACTTTTGCCTCAGGATCGCATCGAATTTTTTTACCGATGTGATGGGGTGTGAACCGACAACCTGTAGAGTTTTCCATTTGGTGTAGGTGAGTGATAGTTTACTTTGATTTTGGTTAAGGTAGATTATCATTTACAGTGTAATCAGTGATGGGATTCTGCAGACTGTTGAGGGTTTAGCCTCCTGATGAGTCGGTGAAACTCCGACGAAACAGTTTGTCACAGTCCCTCGTTTCTTGTCCTCTTCTCTCTCTCTACCTACGGTTTATCGGGCAGTTCTGTTTGTGACGATATATATATATATATATATATAGGGTTGTCAGGCCGAACGTACGGAAACCACTAAGTTGACCCCCGAACGTTCGGGCCTTCGAGTCCCCGTACGGGGTTTGGACCCCGCAAAAACTTATTTTGGAACCTAAATATTATTTTTTTTTCTGAAGTTTTTTCTGTGAGTTCTTTGTAAGGCAAGGTCTCTCCCTCTAAATTTTGAAGCCATTCTGTTCAGCCCAAAAAAATTGAGAAATCGGCAAAGATGGTGGTGTCAAAACGTGCTTGCCAACTCACTAATTTGTCTTTTCTCTCTTTTCACTTTTTGTTTTTCCTTCATTTCGAGGCATGAAAAAATTTATTATTTTTTCAAACTTTATTTGTAGATTCTGTATTATATACTCTACACATACACAAATTTCATGACATTTGTCACAACCCGAACAAAAATGAAAAATCGCCAAAGATGGCGGTGTCAAAAACGTGCTCGTCAGTAGCGCTCTGCTCTCGTGACGCGCGTGCATTAGCGAGTTAGGGTTTCCGAGAAGCGCGGAGTTCACCAGCCATGCCTCGGAGCGCGTAGCACGGGGAAGGTGGTTCACTCAGCTGTCATTCTTATGGTAGGTTGAGCACGAGGGAAGCGAGCTTGTCCAGGGAGAGGAAAGGAAGAGAGGGTATGGGGTGGGTGGAGATGGGATTTTAGAGCTTAGCCTGAACCTACACGAACAAATGGACCACATACGAGCCGAAGAACGCTGTTATAGCATCCTTCCTATGGAATATGCGAAGTTCTTATGAGAAAAATCGCTAACGAGGAGCGACTTCAATACGCACAAGGATCTGGGACGGTCGCTTCAGCAGGACACAGCAGAACGTAAATTAGGTCCTGCCCAACAGATCACAGCAGAACGAAGGTTAGGTTCTGCCCAGCGGGCTGGAAAGACAGTACGAGTTTGGAAGCGACCTTCCTATGGAGTATGCGAAGTTCTTAAGAGAGAAATTTTTAGCGAGGAGTGGACGGTCGTTTCAGCAGGGCACAGCAGAACGAAGATTTGATCCTGCCCTGTGGGTTGGAAGACAGTACCAGTTTGGAAGTGAGGTGGCGATTGCCACAATCGAAAGGCGAAAAATGGAGAAAGTGCCCTCATTCTTCCCCTGAAAAGACGAGGTCGGCACGACAGAAATTGAACCGTAGGGCAAAGCCATTTATGGTGGGGATCCTGGGTAGAGGTGTAGAGACTTCCAATGGAAGTGCGGCGCCTCTGCGAGGGAGATGATGAGTTGGGGTAGAAGGAAAATACGAGTAGACAAATGGGTGTTAACTGCGGGGCAGAAAGACTCTTCTCCATAATATAAGGTACGCAAGCAACTATGGTATTGCTATAGTAGGAGACGGAGTAGAAACAGGGACCGCGAATGATGTTATTGTTGGAGCTTTGGGTGAAGTTGAAAAGGGCGATTCTTGAAAAGGAAAGGGAACGGAGGGAAGCAGAAGGGGTGGCAGGGCATCTCGTTCTGGAGATCTTGGCGACAAGGCCTTAATCTCAAGGATCTTGCGGCAGTTCGAGTCCTGGGTCACAGCATGGTATCTCCTGTTCACTCCACTTTCGTTGTTGCTCAAGCCCCTATTCTCACGTTTGCTGATCTGGCCTTTTATTAAGTGCTTCAACCTTACTAATAGAGTCCGCGCCTTGCCAGTAGAAAAAGAGGGGGAAGAGATGATCTATACATTTTTTTAGTTGCTCGCTGGTAGGAGATATGAGGTACGAGGTGACGGATAATGCAAGCTTTCCCTGTTCTCACGTGTGCTGATTTGACTCAGTTGGCAACCCCTTCTGCTGATCAAATCTGTTTTTTTTTCTTTTCTTTTCAACCTGTTCCGTGAGCCAGATCTCACGGTTTGTGCTTCATCGTATTGTTTGTTGGCAAGCCTTTCTGATGATCAGATCTACCTTTTTGAAGTTTTGTTAACCCGTCCCGTGCTGCCCTACTATTTGGTTGCCCAGTGAGTGCCTGATCGCACGACTTTTGCTTCATCATATTGTCTGTTGTAAGCCTTTCTGCTGATCACATCTGCTTTTTAACCTGTCCGTTGCTGCCCCACTCCGAGGGGGCCCTACATGCGAACTTCAAAGTGATTTTAACGCGTTTTTTGCCAAAGAACCAGCTGCGGACTCCCCATGGAGTTCAACTTGTGGTGCTAGAACTGCGGATGTGAACTAGAATGGGCCTGTGTGATAGGGCAGTGCCATCATAACGAACGGCCTCAAAACGGCGATGGTGGGGTTTTGAAAAAGAAAGGTGTTGTAGAAAATGGGGGCCTGGGAAAGTGTGAACAAAAGGTAAGTCAGGTGGAGAACGATCAAAAGGATGAACTTCAAGGAGAACATCATCATGAAGGTCAACAAGAGGGTCTTAAGGATTGTAATGATGATGATGATGATGATGATGGCTATACTAACCATTGGAATCATAAGAGTGGAGATGAAGAAAGGGAAGATGATAATGCAGGTGTGGGTCGTACAGTTTATTGGAAGAAAAGTGAGGACAGGAGAGCGGATATCAAAGATTCTGGCGACACCAAAGGCAGTGAGCAGAAGGAGAGCGAAGACAACAGGGTTGAAAATGCTCGAATCTGGCAGGGGAGAAGATGGAATTGGATCATTCCTTGGTGCACACACAGAGAGAGAGAGAGAGAGAGAGAGAGAGAGAGAGAGAGAGAGAGAGAGAGAGAGAGAGAGAGAGAGGGTACGGGTGGAATTGATGGGGGGGGCTCGCCCACCGTGAAGTAGCCAAGCAAGTAAAATGTCCCCAAGCCTTGTCTTCATGACATTATCCCCCAACACCACGAACAGTAATGAACAAATCTGAACCTCTTGGACAATTGCTGGCCAGAGAATGGTAGAGAGATACACATTGACTTGTTTAGATGGATACAGTTGGCGCCTTCTAGGTGAAGAGGTCTGTGTAGTCTCTCCTTCCGGTAGGATGGTCCGACCTGATAACTGAGTGTTTTAAAGACGACTCTGATGTATTAGGGGACGCTGGACCCGGTTTCCTGCAAGTGCAGCTCCCCACGAATTGATCGGAGCCATCGAGAAAGTACGATTATTTTTAATGATGAAAAAGGCGCGGTAGGTATTGGTTACTTGCGCCTACTTTAGTCACTTGCTAAGCTAAACCGTTTGATGTTGTCGGGACAACTCCGGGTTGAATTGTGAGGTCCCCGGCCTCTTCTTGATGTTGGAATACATAATGGAAACGAAATTTTGGAAAAAAAAAAAAAAAAAAAAAAACGTGCTAGCCCACTCAATAATTTCGTTTTCGTTTTATTTTTTTTAATTTTAATTATTATTATTTAATTTTAGTATTTGGTTTTTATTTCGCATTTGGTAAAGAATTTGTCTGTAACGTTGAGGCAAATGTTGTTCAGTTTATTCTTCTGCAGAACATATATTTTTTCAGATTTTTTGATTTTTTTTTTTTTTTTTTTTTTTTTTTTTTGTCCGCATTCGGCCGAACGGCGGAACGAGTCAAGAGGGGGTGCCGAACGTTCGGGCGTTCGGCCCGTTCCGAACGCCGACAACCCTATATATATATATAACACTTTGTCATAGCCCCTCGATTGTTGTCCTCTTCTCTCTTTCTGCCAACGGTTTACTGGACAGTTCTGTTTGTGACGATATATATATGTATATTTATATATGTATATATATATATATATAATTGTTAGCCCGAACGTACGAAGGCCCCTACGCTGGGCCCCGAACGTTCGGGCGTTCGGGTCCCCGTACGGGGCCCGAACTCGAAGGGGTGGACCCCGCAAAAACATATTTTGGGACCTAAAAATTATTATTTTTTTCTGATTTTGTTTTTGTGAGTTCTCTGTTATTTAAGCTACCTGTCTCTCAATTTTGAAGTCATTCTGTGGAGCCAAACAATAATGAAAAATCGGCAAAGATGGCGGTGTAAAAACTTGCTTTCCCACTTACTAATTTGTTTTTTTTTTCTTTTCACTTTTTGTTTTCCTTTCATTTCGGGGCCTGAGAAAAAATATTATTTTTTCAAACTTTATTTGTAGGTTCTCTATTATATAAGATACATATGTATAAAATATCATGGCATTTGACAAAGCCAAAAAAAAATGAAAAATCGTCAAAGATGGCGGTGTCAAAAACTTGCTCGCCCACGCAATAATTTCATTATCGTTTGATTTTTTCTTATTTTTATTAATATTATTGATTTTTCGTATTTGATTTCTATTTCAAATCTGGTAAGGAATTTGGATGAACTGTTGAGGCAAATGTTGTTTAGTTTATTCTTCTGCGTAACATATTGTTTTTTTTCAGAATTTTTGAAAACTTTGTTTTTTTTTTTTTTTTTTT